AATAATAAAATAATGATAGTTAATATAATGATGATAGTAGTAATAATAGTAACAATAATAATGATAGTAATATTAGTAGTAATGATAATGGTAATAGTAACAGTAATAGTGATAATAATAACAATAATGAAAATAATTATAATAACAATGAAAACGATAATAATAATAAGGAAAATAATAATGATGATAATGATAATAATAATAATAATAATAATAATAATAATAATAATAACAATAATAATAATTATAGAATGATAATAATAAAAGATGTTGATGATATAAAAAATATTCGTAATGATAACAAAAGGTTGTAATAATAACATTAAAAATAACAACAAAGGTAATAAAAGAAATAAAAATACTGAACATATATATGACCAAATAATTAAGAGAATTGTAATGATAATGATAATGATGATGATGAAGATCGTAGCAATGCTGATAAATTACAGATAGATAATATGGACTATAGATTAAAACACATAAATATAACACAACGTGCCAATATTATAAGAAAAAGCTAATTGTAATAATAATAATATAAATAATAGTAATATAATAACTATCACATAAAAAATAATCATGATACAAAACGATAAAAATTATAAACATATAATAATGACAATGATGATGAAAAAAGACAATACAAAAAACAAACAAACAAAAAAAACAACAACATCTATTATGAATAAATGTTATAATCTGAATCATCATACATATTCACCCTTATCATCACCTTCTAGTAGTAATAATAATAATAATGATGATGATGAAAATAATAATGATAATGATATTTGCAAAAACAACAAAAATAGCAGCCACAGTAATAATGATGAATAATAAGAATAAGATTAAAAGTAAATACAATAAATACAATAATAAGTAAATAAAATAATAAAAATAAATAAAAATAAATAATAAAATAAAATAATAATAGAATAAAATAATAATAATAATAAAATAAAATAATAAATACAATAATAAAAGACTATAATAAGAATAAGATTAAAAGTAAATACAATAAATACAATAAATAAGAATAATAAGAATAAGATCAAGAAATAATAGCATAAAGATGATATGTACGACATCATCGATAATGATATCATTATTAATGATGACTATAGTAATGATAATAGTAATAATAAAAGTAATAATGATGCTGGTAATTGAAACGGCGATAATGAATATAATGATGATAATAATAATGATAATGATTTTCATAATGATAATCATAATAAAAATAATAAATGATAATAATGATAATAGTAATAACAATGATAATTATGAAAACAATTATAATGATGATTATAGTAACAAAAACAACAACAATAATGATGATAATAAAATATAACAATAATGATAATAATAACAGTGAAAATAAGGATAAAAAATAATAACAATGATGATAATGATAATAATGATAATGAGAATAATGATGACTATAACGATAATAATAGAAAATATGATAATGATAATAATAATGATAGTGATAATAATAATAAAAGATAATAATAATAATAATCAATAATGAAAAAGCGATATGATAATCATAACCATGGTAATATTAATGATAATAAAGATTTTAATGATGAAAACAATAACAATAACATCAACAACAGCAACATAAATAATAACGATAACGATAGAAATAATTATAACAATGAATAAAATGATAGTAATGATAATGATAATAATAATAATAATAAACACAATAACAATAATAATAATAATGACAATAACATCAACAATAGTAAAGAAATATGATAAAAAAATAAGAACAACGATAATAATAATGATAATGGTGGTAATAATGATAACAATGATAATAACAACATCAACAATAATAATAATAATAATTATAATAATAATGATAATAATGATAATGAAAACAATTATAAGAAATGATGTAATGATAGTAATTATATAATAATAATAATATAAATAATAATAATAAAATGATAATAATAATAGTAATAATAATAATTATTAATATAATAACAGTGATGATGATAATAATATAATAATAATAGTAATGATATAATACTATTATTATTATTATCGTTATTATTATTATTATTATATTATTATTATCATTATTATTATTATATTATTATTATAATTATAATTATAACAATAATGATAATAATGACAATAATAATAATAATAATAATAATAATAATAATAATAATAATAATAATATAATAATAATAATGATATAGTATGATAACAAGAATAAGAATAATGATGATGGTAATAACAATAATAATAACAAGAAAATAGATAACTAATAATAATCCAAATAATGATAAGACCAATAATAAGAATATCAATAGTAATAATAATGATATGATAGTGATAATGATAATAGAAATATAAACAAATACAATAACAGTGATAGCAACAACAACAACAACAATAATAAAAAAATAATGAAAACGATAGTGATAATAATAATGATAGAAATAACAGTTCCAGATGATAATGACAAAATTGATGGTAATGATAGTAAGATAGTAATGATAATAGTATTAATTACGACAATAATAATGATAAAGATACTAATAGGAATAATAATAATAACAATGATGATGAAAATAATAATGACGATGATGACAAAAATAATAATTTCGTAATGATAGATTTAATAACAATAATAGATATAATGATTGTGATATAAAGATAAAAATAATAATAACAATAATAAGAACAACACCAATACTGATGACAACTATGATTAATAATGATAATAATAACAACAATAATGATAATAATAATAACAATAACAACAACAACAACAACAACAATAATAATGATAAGAATAATAGTGATATAATGAATGATAATACCAATAATTATAATGATAATAATGATAATAAAAATAATGATAACTATAAAAGTGATAGTAATAATAATTGTAATAATGATAACAATAATAATAAATAATGAAAAAATAATAATAATAATGAATAATAATAATAATAATATAATAATATAATAATAATAATAATAATAATAATAATAATAATAATAATAATAATAATAATAATAATAATAATAATAATAATAATAATAATAATAATAATAATAATAACAACAACAACAACAACAATAATAATAATAATAATAATAATAATAATAATTATAATAGTAATGATGATGATGATGATAATAAATAATGATAATAATATGAATAATAATTAATATAATAATAATAATGATAATAACAATAATGATGAATAATAATAATAATAACAACAATAACAATAATAAAAATAAAAATAACAGGAATAGTGATAAGGATAATGATAATGATAAAAATAGTAATACTAACAATGATAATAATAATACCAATGACGATACAAATAATTTAAGAATGAAGAGAAAATGTTATTGCTAAGGACAATGTCAACAGCGATGCAACCAACGGCAAATTAACTCGTTAAACTTTGGTAAAATACAAAATCAAATATAGAAATAAACACACATACACGCACAGATGCAAACACAGACACGCATAAAAACACACACAAGCGGAAACAAACACACACACAGACATACACATGCAAACACAGACACGCATGAAAAAAAACACATGCGCATAAAACACGGACACAAGCACAAACACACACACGCACAAAAAAAAAACACACACACGCATAAGAAACACACACACACGCACAAAAAACGCACACACACGCACAAAAAGCACACACACACGCACAAAAAACACACACACGCACACACGCACAAAAAACACACACACACGCGCACAAAAAACACACACGCACACGCACAAAAAACACACACACACACACTACACTTGTCCATGGTATGAGAAACACAAGATACATAACTATATGAAAATTATTTCACTTTATCTATAAAGCCTAACAATCCGTTTAATATATTGATATACCCATGTGTTATTCCTAATTATTGTTGTTATTGTGCTTGTTTCTGTCTTTGTCGATGTCATTTTCTATGTTATTGTTATTACCGTTGTTACATTGTTGTTATTATCGCCGCATATGTTGTAGTTGTTGTTATAATCACAGAGACCATTCTGATATCGTCGTTACAATAGTTATGGCAAAAGAGACTAGTGTGCAGTTAGACGTAACGGGGTTGTTGATGGTTTCACAGGGATTTTAAGATGATTACAACTCTAGTGTTGTTTGTGATGAAGGGAGAATCTCGTTGTTGTGGATGCGAGGTTGATGAGTGTGGAGATCAATGGAAAGAAAAAAGAAAAAAGAAATAAGAAAAAAAGTGGATTTGTGATCGGATGATTCAAAATTCTGCTAACTACCGCAGGCTTGTTAACTCGTCACGTATTGCAAATAAAATGAAACAACAAACAAGAAAATGCGACACATGTAATCACGGGAAAAACGCATCATGATATCTGAAATACCTCATAATTACAATAAAACGAAATAAAACGAAAATGAAGGAAACTAAAACACAGACACCGATAAGACATAATAATAATAATAATAATAATAAAATATTCAACGATCAAATCGTAATTTTTCGGAGACAGAGAGCAACGACTTGAACCTCGTCCTCGACTGAGGCGGAGGACGAGCTACTCTCCCGACCTACCTCGAGGAGAAGCTAAGGGAGAGGAGGGTAAGGGCGTGAGGTAGGGGTGTGTGTGGGGGAGAGGGGAGGGGAGAGGGGGCAGTCTAGGGAATAGGGGGACGAAAGACGACCCACCTGGAGGACGACTCGACGGCGAGGCGGAGGGCGAGGCTGGAGGGCGAGGACGAGGCTCGGAGGAGGAGGAGTCGGCGGCGCGCCCCGCACACACACGCACGACCCGAGGCAGAGGGACTGGACGGAGCAGCGCAGGTTGCCGACTGTAGGAGGGATGACGCCGCCGCCCCCCCCCCCCGGCCCTCCTCTCCCCCCCACCCCTCGCCGAGACACCGCTCGCCGGCCATATGATCACGACAACCACGAAGATGATGATGATGATGATGATGATGGTGATGATGATGCTAAGAGATTCTGAGGCGTCCTGCGGCGCGCGAGATGGCCCCGCCCTGGCCCGGCGGTTCGGCGCGACCCCGTTAACTCGAACCGGCGCGGGGAGCGCGACCCCCGGAGCGCTGCGCCTCGAGCTGGGCCTCGCGGCGGGGCGCTCGAGGGCGGCCCGAGGTGCTCGAGGAGCAGCCCCGGGGAGCCTCCGAGGCCGAGGCGCCTCTCGGGCCGCCGGTCGCAGGCGCTGCAGACAGCAGGTGGTAGGAGGCTCCAGCGTTTTATTTATGGCTGCGGCCGACGCTGCCATCCCGCGCGCGGTGGGGCGCCTCCGCGGCCGCTGCCGCTCCACACCGCCCTCCCTGCCCTCCCTGCCCGCCGCCTCGCCCTGCCCTCCCTGCCCTCCCTGCCCGCCCTGCCCGCTCGCCTCGCCCCTGCCCTCGCCCCTCCCTGCCCCTGGCGCCCTGTCCGCCCTCGCGCCCTCCCTGCCAGCCTGCGCCTTCGCTCGCCCGACGCACGACCTGTCCTCGTGCCCTGCCCTCGCCTCCCCTGCCCTCGTGCCCTGCCCTCGGTCCTGCCCTCGTGCCCTGCCTCCCTGCCCTCGCCCTCCCTACCCTTGCCCTCCTGCCCTCGGCCCCTGCCCTCACCCTGCCCCTGCCTAG